GGTGAATTTCTCTAAGCAACTGTATCTAGGAACCCTTTTTATTCTTAAACACACCTCAACCTGCCTATTCTCAAGCAAAAGTACCTCATGATGTCTCCTCCCGTAACAACGCCTGCTGGCCTACCCCGGCAGGGCCCATGGCCCACTGCTCACCACGTCAACCCAGGCTCTAGGGATGCTGCCCTGTATGAAGGGACTGATGGAATTACATCTAAGTTACAGAAGGGAAATAAAAATAAGGTTCCTGCTCTTGCATGAGAACGAAGAAGAGATGCTTTTCTAAAGGTAAGAGGGAAAAGTTGTGCAAGACAAAACAGAATTGGTGAAATGGATGATGGAAGGTATTATGGAGTGCAAAGAAAGGGTAGAGCATGGAGCTAGCAATACAGTAGGATAACTTCATGTACTGGTAGAGAAGCCAAGAGACAGCACCAGCAGATAGTGGATGAGAAGAGTAAGAGGATATGAAAGGATTATGAATTCAAAGCTAGCTTACAGTAGCTTAGTCTCCATGCTCAAAATACAGATAGAAACAGTGAACACAGGTGGCTCAAAAGAGAGCTTTCCATCCAGGTTACAAAAGTGTACTTGTCAGGTACCACAGAAATGTAGAACAAGTATTTCCTCTTGACTTCCTTGCGCAATTCATAAAAGAGATTATCCAACAAATAGAAAGGCTTGTTCATCAACAGGTCTATTCTGCATCACAGACACCAGGCAAATAATACTCCAAAGCATGTCTAAGAAAGAGGAGAGTAAAGTCATCAACATGCTGCTAGAAATGTTGCTCTTTGAATGGCAGTGCCATGGCTAAGAGTGAGAGGGCTGCTGAGCCAGGGCAGGTCCTTAAATGATAAGTGTGACAGCTCTTCTCCTTGTCTTAGCAGAGGTAAGAACATAAATTTCAGCAGGGTCCCTGCTCACTATACATGAGATGTTTTCTCAGTACCATGCAGTCAATCCAAGTTCCTTCATATGAAATGTATTTAAGGAAGAGTTTTAATGGTGCCCTTAAAAACAGCTCTACTACTTTGAACTCATACACATCTTGTTTCTTCCAAAATCCCTCTAAGCAGCTATTCTGTCTCTACCCTCCTGAGTAACATGAACAGATTTGCTATTAAGCAAGGTAATTCATTTCTTCTCCAAATCAGACATAGACCTGAACTTACATATACCTTATGTAGTCAGTCAATAAAGAGAGAATGACTTAAACCAGATTCATATTCTGTGAACCAACTTCATATTCTGCCAAAAAAAGGATTCACTCTCTCTCTCCACTGGCAACTGGCAGTGTTTAAGAAAGGCAGGTTCCTTTAGCTGTATAAAGTTATAATCATCTCCAACCTCGGTACCAAAATCCCTTTAAAAATCTAGAGGTGGTTCCTGAAACACTCCGGTACTCTTTATAAGCTTCAACAACTTCCAACCTAAGCAAACGAGAAATTTAAACAGTAACAAAACCAGCTCACAAACAAAGTAGCCTAGAAATATGTCTACAACTATCTAATTTTTAGAACTGTACTATTTCTCCATTTCCCATTGTTCAGATGCCCTAGCCAGCCAAAAGAACAATACAAAAAGCAAGTATCCTCTAGCTATAAACTCCAGCCATGGTAAAGTCCTAAAAAGAAAGTATGTATACTAATTTGCTCTCCATAAAGTCACTAATTATATCGGGGAAAAAAACTGTAACACATTGATTTTTTTCTTCTGCCCTTGGGGAAGAAGTTTGTATATAATTATCAGTTCCCTAACTCTTTACTTGCCCTTTTGTTTTAATAATGAAAGAAATTCTTTCATCTGTCTGCAAAATAGTATTGCACTGAGACAGGCTGGAGGAAATATGAAACCCAGCGACGGTTCAGGGCTCTGGAGAAAACAAGCAATATTTATTCCTAACCTCTTACTGACCTATCACTGGCCTTAGACAAACAAGTTAAACATTCAATTAGTAGAAAAGAAATGAACGTGCTGTTTATTAATTTGGAAGAGAAGATGCAATGTTGTGCATATTAATTCACTTAATATGCCACACAGCATCTGAACTTCTGGTAGATAAATCCTTTCCAGTTTCAGATACTCAGTCCTAAGAGGCAACTTGGTAGCAAAATGTCTCGCACATGGGTCTTTGCATATTTGCATTACATAGGAGAAATTTGGAATTAATGATTTTGTATTTTCAATATGTCTTGAACCGTGTTTATTTATCACAGATCGAAGCTGCCTAACTCCTTGATACCTATTCATTGTAACTTGTTTTCCATCCCATACCTACTCCCTCATTCCCTGCTCTTTCCTTTGATCTTTAACTTCTATCTCGCTTCTGATTTACATCTGTATTTACAACCACAGTCTTCTAACCCCATTACAAAAAAGTCTCTTCGGTTCAACTGCCTATCAAGCTGCCTATCACACTACTCTCCTACCCTCGGTATACCCAAGTATGCTGCCTTGCAGCAGCTTCTCCACCCCTCAACTTGCTCACACCCTTCTATCAGTGCAAACACCACCAGCACTCCTCACCTTCCTTCCTCTCTCTTGTGACAGGCCGGTATCATTGCAGGGTCCATGCAGTCTGGATGGGTGGACTACAGTGGAAGTGAAACCAGGCTAGATCACTGGGCTCAAAACACAGTGGTCACTGTTCTGAAGCCCAGGTGGCAGCTGGTTAGCAGTGGCATTGCACAATGGTCTGATACTATTTACCATCTTCATCTAGAAAGAAAAACAAACAACACCTTGTTCTTCCTCCTGTCCACTGCAAGACTAGAAATACAATCTCAATGCATTCTATACGTACTGAAAAAAAAATATATATACACATTTTCACTCTGAAGAGTAGAATAGACTAAAAATTCTCTAACTGCAGTGTAAGTTCTTCAGCTATCTAGCAGTAGTGTTTCACTACTGCTCAATAAAATACAGCTATTGCTGATTTATTATTCTATTGTTTGACCTTGAGAATATCTGATCACCACGCATCAACACTGCCTGTAAAAAATCCTCTTCCAATCTGTTGGGCACTATTGCAGATAAGAACTTAAAACTTAGTCTAGTTAATTAGATGTAAGAAAGAGTGGGACATAGAAATCTGAACTCAATATTATTCGTTTCTGGAGACAAAGAGGTCAAATGTGCAGTACACTGGAGAGCTTATACAGCTTTTCTGGGTATTTATTCAATACAGTTAGTCTGAAGCTTCAACTGGTAGGCAGCAACGTCCCATTTCAATAATGTGCTAGAAACCGTAGGTACTTCTGGAATTATGCCACAATTTACATTGACAAAGGAAGTTTTAACACAAATAGCTCTGTCCCACAGCTGGAATCCCAAGTATCTGTCAGTATGAAATCTCTCTTGAGAGGGAAGCTGCATAACAATATATGTTTCTTCCCTTGGCCTCCAAGTGGAATTAAGGAAAAAAATAGTTAAAATATGTTCCTATCTTGTCTAGCTGGTAGCTGATATTTGAAATATTACATTTTTTTCATGCAAACAAGATGTACTACAGGTAGAATAGTCCTGGTACCTTAGTTTCCCATGTTCAAAAAGAGTTCAAGACCTATACTTATGAATGATAAACAAAATCAGATTCTTTCTATTAATCTTTGGATAAAATCCATTAGGATTCATTCCATCAGGAAAGTAAGGAAGTGTAGAAATCTGACTCCAAGCAAGCACATACATTCATGTATTGCCATGAACATTTTTCACAGCAAATGTAGAATCTTTTTACAACAACTGACAAATAATAAAACTTTCTGTGTTCTTTCTTACTGTATATAGATGTTCCCTATATTTGTGATCATGCATATTTCACTGCATCACACAGTTATGAATACTGGGCTATCTGTTTCAAAAAGATGAATCTGATCTTCTTAGTCATAAATTGTCAAAACTGTTTCGTCTTCTCCCAAGGCCTTACTTTTTGTTCAGATTTTTCTCCCAGCTGCATGTTTCATACTAGTGTTTTGATATGCAGCCATATATTTCATTGCTTTGTGGCTAATTCACATTTCCCTTAGGAAGAAGGTCTGAGGACCTTTTTTTTTTTTTTTTTTGAGAATAGATCGTATTAGCTAAATTTGTATTTTTCTCCAGAAGACAAAGAAGTCTGCAAGTAGTTTTGTGTGCATGATTATTGTTAAGACCATTTTTCTTGTAAAGTTCTATTGTTGCAGAAAAGTTGAGTAGTCTTGGCTTAAATTTAGAGACAATACAGAAACCTGCTGCTTTACTCAGAGCTGTAATAGTATACATTAGCTGGCGAGGAGGTTTGCAGAGTGTCTGTAACAAAGGGCAGCAACACGAAACTTCAGGAGATCTAAATCTGGAACATTTCAACTTGACATTTCATTTGTTTGTATAAATCACTGTGGAAGATGGTTGAGCACTCAAGTTAAAGCAACACTTAGATTATCACATTCTGAAATCATGAGTAAGAGTAATCAAATTGTCTAAACAATGTGAAGCTGTCTTATTTGCTGCTTTCCTAAAGTAATTATAGTGCTGAGTTGGTAATTTTCTCAATGTAGTAACTTCATGAGCAACAGTAAACTTTCTCCATAATACGAACATAAAGGGAAGGACAATAGGTATTTTGAAATAAAATCTATTTGGAAGAGTACTTATTTGCTGTCTGTATTAACAACTTTTATTTTTAGAAGTCTGTCTATACAGAACAATTTGGAACAAACAGTCAAACTTCAAAATGCGAAACGGGCGCTTTTTGCTTACTGTTTTGCTTTCAATTTGGTTTTGGGGGTTTCACTGCCACACTGATGAGTCAATGAGGCTGCTTCTGGGTGTAAGAACAAGAGCTGGAGTGCGTAGCAATCACTACATGGAAATATCTGCTGGATAGCAATGTTTATAGTCCAGGAACTCTTAAAAAGAGTTTTCAGAATAACTTTGGTTACATTTGGGCACTTTCTCTGGAAATCTAACCCTTGGAACTACTGAAAACATTGGGGAAAAGGGTAGAAAAGAAAACTGACCTGTGCAGCTGTTCTTCTTGGCTAGCTGGGCTACAAACGATGTCAAAGGAGACAGCCTACATCCAAGCACTAAAACACAAGGACATGATTACTGTCAGAGTATTTTATCGCTACCTCTTATCTTGCACAGACAAAATTGCAGCTTGGGAAAATAAGATGGGAGGAAGCAGGAAAGATGAAGCTAGTTTTGCCTTATGGCAAAATTGACTTTAGTGAAAATTCATTTTTGTCTATGTGACACAAAGAAATAAGGAATAAATAGAAAGTTCAGGGTTTCATAGCTTGGCTGTAGATGAAACATATCTTGTACAGCCATGGAACTATACTGGAATAAGTGCCACTGGGAAAATTAATAACAGGAACAAGTGATCGCATGAGCAATAGAACTAGTGAACCTTGTTTTTTATAGATTTAAATTGCGTGCTTGGATTCTCTGGTGTTTTATAAAGCAGAACCCTTGCCTGACTGTCTAAAGCACTGCCTGTCTGGCCTTTCCTTCCACAGTGGTATTAAATAGGCTTCTGTACTAGTCCTTGCATATATTCATGACTTCTTTGCTATTTTTGGAATCTTATTATTTTATTAAATTCAGTTCAAGTTAGCCAACTGGACGGACAACACTCCAAATGTTCCATATTCTCTCTGTCCCATACTCAGAGTGATAATTTGTATGATTTGACTGAAAGAGGCAAGACTAAAAAACACCCTCCATGTTTTCCCATGCTACCACAATTGAAAGGAGCTTCCACAAACATCTGCCCAAGTAATGCATCATCCTCCTTCAAAAGTTGCTTTAACATTCCTCTTCTCTGTGATGCTGACATAAAAACTGACAATGATTAGTTTGCTAGTGTCCTAAGACCATTGCTTATCTCACAGACCAAAAGTGCCCCATTTTTTCTTGTAGTTTTCAGTTTGTCTGTCTGTCTGTTGCCTCATCGTGGTTGGATTTAGACTGCAAACCCTTTGAGACAGAGATCACCCTTTTCCCATTTGTTTCAGCAGCAAGAACAAATCATCAGTGTTTATGACCAGGATATCTGAACACTGTATTAATGCAATTAAGAGATAATAATTACACTAAGAAATAATAATTGATCAGGATACTTGTGAGAATCATATAGTATTCATCAAGCTGACATGCTGTCATTGATAAGAGACTGCTGGTTGTTCTAATGCATTGAATGAGATATTATTCACATGACAAACAAATCTGTCAGTTGGTTTTACTGGACAGCCCAAATTCTAACAGTGTTTATCCAAAGCAAACCCCTGTGTTAAGCTGGCAGATTCATTATTTTTCATATTAATATTTGTACCAACTTGAGAGTTACTACCAAACCATTCCAGGCCTTTTGGATTGATGATTGCACTTTGATTTATGACTTATCACCAGGACATTATTCACAAGGCCTTGGTAACTCATTTATATTGGTCAGCATGTGCATTTGACTTGGCAGAATCATTATCCGCATTATCACCAGAACTCACAAATAGACCTCTGCCTTTGCTCTGGAATTGGTATTGGCTTTGAAATCACTAAACACTATTCAATCCGTTCCCCCTCAGAGCTATGCCTTGCTGCTCATGTTGCACTGTAATCACTTAGTATCTCAAGTCCCTCACGTTCTTTTTATACATCCTATCTATGAACAATATTATTTTTTTTACATCTGTTCTACGTTACCTGATATTTGAGATGTTACATTTGTGCTTAAAATGTCCAACAGTAAAAGAAGAAACCTTGACATCACTAACTTCTTCCAAAACATTTATCTTTATTTATATCCAATTAAAATTCTATCGTACCTTTTAGGCAAATTGTATTTTTGCATTGTTTTATACAGACCACCACAATCTATGAGCACACAGTTGCTCAGTCCTCTCCAAATCAGAATAAAAATACCAGTTCTGAAAATCAAAATTGTCGCAATTCAGAACACTTGAGTTCTATTCCACCCTGTGATGGTTTTGGTTTCCATACACATGAACACTTCATACAGGCAAATGCTGAAATGAAGAGGGAAGAGAAGAAGATGAAGGCTGTCCCTCTTTTGCTATTTAATGGGTTGTCTAAATCTTTTAGACCACAGGAAAGAACCAGGTATTTTATAAACAGGGACTCATAGGCATAAATATTTCATGTTTATGCATTTAATCAGACAACATAATAAATGTAATGTTATCTTTTAAGCAGTTGGAAGCAAGAAATAATTGGACAAACTTTTATTTTCCTTTCAGGCATTATTCACGTTCTGTTATCAAGGTTATTCAGTGCTTAAACAGAAATATAAACAGTAAAGATTTGAGAGATCATGTAAGAAATTACCTTCAGCTGAACAACTAATTCTAAGTCCTCATTTGCACAACCAGAATGGTCACATTTCTTTTTCTTTAGTCCTTTGTCCTGCTGCTCTTTCAGTGATACAAAAAAGGAGAGAGGGGGATGAGAGCCAAGTTCATTATTAGTAATTATGAATGTCACAAGATCACTTCAAAAATTCAGATCATCACATCATCACTTCAGCTTCTAGAAACTCATTTATTTCTGACCTGTTTTGCATTTCTGACCTGTTTTGCTATTTATGTAAAAAAGATGAATACTGTTACCTTAGCTGCCACTGCTTCTGTTTATCTGTGCATAATATATATCTCAGTTTGAATTTATTACCATAAACCCTGGGATTATAAAGATTTTGTTTCATGTGATAAGTTTGCACCCATATATTTTTATTTACGATGCAAATTAAACTATACAGGAACTTAACTTACCTACTAATATATTTTCATGAAATAACCATGGCAACTGAACATACTCCATGCTGAACATAACCATGTCTTGAACATCATCTCCCACCAGATCTTCTTTAACTAACTCAAACATTACCAAGACATTTACAGTCTGCAAATAAACTATATATCATGGTGGCATATATTCTTGAAATTCTAATATAGAAAATTGTAAAAGCTAGTTTCATATAGCAACCATATGGGTATGTAAACATTTCTTCCAACATGTTTAAGAATCAGGCCTTACCACGATAACAGCTCACTCTAAAATAAAGATACCCCTAAACTACAGTGATGGGATTTATAGAATGTCTGTGTTGTTTCTTACTAGTACAAATCAAAAACACCAGACTTAAAATATGATGGTCTCACCAAATGTTATAAAATAAAAAATGAAATACATGTCAGACATTGTTTACTCCTCTTACTGAGAGGACTGTCACTGAAATTATTAATTTAGATTTCATATGTCCAACTCTTCTAATTATTTTACTAGTGACTGCTAGAAGAGTCCATCTAATGCTATTAAGATTAAAAAGATGTATTCATCAGAGAGCTCTTTAGCAGCAAACTAAATGAGCCATGCAAGACAAAAGCCCTGCTAATTTTTGGAAAATTGTAACACTGGAAAGTAATTACTTTTTTGTTGTTGGTTGGTTGTTTGTTTTCTAATAATGTTGATATAAACAATCCTGACTATAACTGACTAGAGTAACTCATTTTGCTTTTTTGGTTTTTTGGGTGGCATTCAAGAAAGGCTCAGAAACAAAAGTTCTCACAATAACGATAAAAATTCCAATTTTAATACCTTAACAGGAACCTGTTTTATTATAAGACTGAAAGGGCTTTTCTCTTGCACAAGGCTATGTCCTTATATCTGGAAAAACCAAAAGAGAATTGTTTTTCAGCAGACTGAGCCATTAAGATGAAAATCCCATCTTTTGAACAAGGCTGATACCTAATCTTTATCACTGTATTGATTGATCTGGGTTGTGAGACTTACCTGTATCCAGCTTAGCTGCCTGGCAGACAAAAAAGGAAAGAAGGGAGAAATCTATGTCAATCAATTCGTTTAAAAAAAAAAAATCATCTGAAATTAACTACTAAAACACTATATTTTAGTTTGTCTAGAGAGAGGTACAAATCATCAAAAGTTAATTTTAGGAACCAACAGGAAAGGAAATGCCAGAATTGTCAAGTTAGTTGTCTTTATTAGTCCCCAGCACAGCACTTCACACCCTCAGGATATAGGAGCCTCAGACCAATTTCTATGACAAGGTGATCAGCTAGAGAACCGGTATATGTGATAAAAACAGGGGAGTGGGGAAAAACTGTCTCTTCCTATGTATGTTTCGGCCTGAAGCCTCCTACTATCTTAACACTATGTAAGCCTTTGAGAAACAGCCAGCTAGACTACTTTGGTAATTAGCTGAAAAGACAAAGGGGAAAGGTCAATTAGCATAGCAGGCAAAGGCTAATTGCCAATTCATCGCTGGGAGACCAACTGGGAAAAGTTAGAGCCAGTGGCTGGTCGTAAGTGATCCTCCAAAGTTTGTGAGAGAACTTAGCACAAGGAGGAAGAAAGGAACGGGAATTATGGCTGGGTTTCTTTTTTCCTACTTGTAGAGTAAGTTACCCTGGGAGTTGAAGAAAGAGCATAACTCATTTTGAAGGATTATTTTAAAATGAGACAGATTCACAGCTCAAACCAATCATATGACAATTCCTTTCTGTGCCTGAGGAGACTGAATCCTGAATGCCTGAGGAGAGTTTGCACCTTCACTAAAGTGTGCTTTAATGAAAATCATCATTTTTGTTACTGTAAGGAATTATAATCTTTCCATTTTTTCTTAGGCATTTACTGGAACAGAAACTATAAACTCAGTATCCCACCTCTTAGGTGAGAACTTTTACTATATACCTGCACAACTGTTTCTCTGGATCCATACATACCCAAGTGACCGATGCAAAGCAGACCTGGTTGTACATGAGGAAAAGTTAGCTGAAATGGCATGGGAAGCGTGTCTCATTACTCTGCTTGTTTATTTATACTGAAACTGTTTCAAGAGCAGAGCTTAAGAACACTGAAAGCCAACATCTTGTACAGTCTAGTAGGTTAAGCAATAAACATCAGAATGCCCTAAGTGCTGACTCATTGGATTCTTCCCTTAACGTCTTCCCTTCAACATCTTTTTCCCAGCTGTACTTACTTGGCAGGCTCAAGTAATCTAAAACAATAACTGATTTTTCTAGGAATTTGATATTCAATGCATTTAAACTTACTTTGCTCCACTATACACCATATATCACTTTGTGTAGTTTTTAAATGTTTAACTTGCCTGTTAGGCCTCAGTTAGGCCTCCTCAGCAGCACGGTGGAGTCTTCTTCACAAGAAAACATTCATCTATCAAGGATTATGCTGTGTGTATACCCAGGAAAGAGGGCGTTATCAGCTGAAGATCTCTCTGCTTGGTTTTCTGTTTTTGTAAAGGCTTCACTTGCGTGGTTTTGTGCCAAGATTGGGTATCTCTGTTGGCATCATCACAAACAGCATTCCTTTTCCTGCTGGAGAAGTAGAAAATGTTTTAATGGAGAAGTTTGGTCACTAAAGTTTTCCATGTACAGTGTAAAGAACAAATTATATATATAACTATTGTAGTTTAAATTGATCATTGAGCTTCTATATCTTCAGTTTCGGCCACTGAAAGTTTTGATCAGTTCAACATGAACAGAATCAAAAAATGGCAGAGGTTGGAAAAAACCTCCAGAGTTAACAGGAAGGAAGAAACGTACCATAAGACTTTGGAAATTTCCCCTTTCCTTATTTTATGGTGCGATTAGCAAAGTTCAGTGCCTCCAAACTGGCATGAAGGTGTTTAATGTCAGAGCTTAATAATACAGCATACATTAAAAGTATAAATACAACATTCTTGCAGCTTAGAGAAAACATTTGCTGAAGACAAATTACAAGTATGTAGCTGTATCACCTCATGTTTTGCTGGATATAAAATGACCCTTTAAAGCCTTCTGACATTCTCCTCGAAGCTGAGGATTGAGGCTATGACCTTTTCAAAGCCTTCCAAAGAGCTTCACAATCAACTAACTCTCAAAGAGAAAGTTTCAATAGAAGCAAAAGACTTTTTTGATAATCGTGGAAGCATGGCTGCCCTGCCTCAAGAAAAGCAGAAAATAAATCAGTTCTTGCTATGTGAAAAACAAACAGTTTGTGAACAAACTATGTGAAAAACAGCTATTGTTGCCAACTGAGTTGAGAAGAATCATTTTGTAATTTGAATGCAATCTCCCAAAAAAGGAAATTTTGATTATATGAAAAATAAAATAAAATAAAATAAAATAAATAAATAAAATAAAATAAATAAATAAATAAATAAATAAATAAATAAAATAAATAAAATAAATAAATAAATAAAATAAAATAAAATAAAATAAAATACCATGAAGTGTCCAGGGAGGCTATGGTGTCTCTACCCCTAGAGATACTGAAACATGACTGGAGAAGTCCTGAGCAAACTTATCCAGTTAGACTCACTACGAGTAAGACCTACCTCCCAACCAAAATTATTCTATGAAACCACCAACTGAACTTAGCATCTCTCCTTGTCTGTATTTGCAATGCTAGGAAAGGGGAAGAATGCTCATTAACAGTTGAGCTGCCTCAGGACAGTAAATGGTAGTAAAGGAATCTATCAAAAATAGGATTTTGAAAAGGATAGGGCAGGATAGGGCAGGCCAGATCTGAAATCTGAAAACTGACACTACAGATGTCATCTGTCAAAAAAGGGAGGAGTTTCCACCTGAGTGAAAATAGACTATTTGACTACTATTATACCCTAGTACAGATATAAAATAAAGGCTATCCATCTCCAGAGTAATGGATAGCTTCGATGACATATTCTGACTCCCATTGTACCATCTTTGGAAGCATTTATAGAAAGTTTTAATTGCTATCAGCACAACACCAGGAATACATTAATATCACCCCTGAAGAAAAAGGCAACAGAGGAAAGAAACTGAGTACAGATCTTTTTAGGATGGTTTTGTAGCAGTGAAATTTATGGCTCTTTGCTGCTCAAGCCCATCCCAAAAACACGATGAACTTATCTATTCTAAATATGTAACATACAGCTACACCCATTTATTATGTTACTGAATCTATTGAATAAGGAAAAAAAGTTAACACATGCTGCCAGTTAAACACATGAACATGTTCATGCTCTTACATATTTAAACTTCTTCCTTATGTTTATCATCACTATTGGCCAAAGCACTGCCTGAAACCAGAGCCCCGCAATGGGCAGAAGGGAACCAGATCTTTCTAAACAAGAGCTGTTGTAGGCCTCTGGCACTGAAGCTACAAAGTTGCTTCAGTGCTTTAGAAGTCATTCCTGTGGACCACTTACTTAAATAAAGAAATAAACCACTTCTCAGGAAGAAATGAAACAATCAATTTAGTGAAAGAAAAAATTCAGAAAATAAACTTATGCAATCACACAGCAAAGAATCTGGAAGATCATGATGTGAATATCAGTTCTCCTTCTGTTTATTTTCTCTCCCTTTCTGAGATCTCTTTTCCTCTACCAAAGACTTTTCTCCATTCTTTAGTATGCATCAGACAAAGCCTTAGATCCCTAGGCTTTAATAGAGAAGCCACAGTCTCATTTTTCCATTAACAATATTGTTTTTGTTTTTGTCAGCCCTTCGGTGCTGAAGATGCCAGACCAGAGCCATTTGTTTTTGCAAACTCATTTGTGGCGGCCCAGACCAGCCCACGAGGCACAGCGTGCAGCGTGTGCATGCTAATGGCCTTCTGCAGGTACGCTGCTGTGGCTGCCATCGGTGGCAATGCCATTTCAGAATCCCCTTCTTTTATTCTCTACCGTTGTCAATCAAACCGGTACATTCTGTGCCTTGACACTGCCTGTCAGCCTGGCTGGTTTGTCAGAGATGCGGCCAGCAGTCCCCTCAGCAACATTTCTTGTGCTACCATCCTAGGGGGGCCTCTCCTCCTTGCCTCCCTGATGGCTGCCAACTCCTATTTCTCTTCCTTGTGCAGGCTGTATATGTAAAGTTTCTTCCCTCACTTTTTCAGAAGAGATGTACTTTTATCAATAGGATATTGTCATTAGTCTTACTATCTATCTGTACCCAAGTGTAATTTCCCCAGGTAGGAACCATTTTCAAGCTGGGGACTGCTGGAATATGGCACATTGTAGCTGCTCTTGCACACCCAGAGGTCCCTCCTGATGTTGACAGTGGAAGTAGATTATTATGGTGCCGTTCCCACTACCAGCAGCAGACAGCACAGACTCAGCATACTCCACGTCGACTTCTTTTTCTTGGCATTGCTAATTGCGAAAGGGAGCTGATTAAGCAGACAGTTTTGCTCTCTGTCAGTTCAGCCCTTCACATACAGGGAGAATGGCAAAGCAAGCACCAATTCACATACTTCATAATGATTTCACAATCACCCGTCTTCTAGAAAGAGAATTGTAGCTACTCAGAAAGAAACAGCCATAGTAATTGCTGTTCAGTGACAAAGCTATGGAAAATTCCTCTACAAATGACCATTTTCACCCTGTGACTAGCTGCAGCGGTGTTCAAGGCAGCGCAGTGCCCATCGCCCGGGCAGGCAGGGGCAGTGAGCTCTTGACTCAGCTCAGACATACTGCTCACACTGAGCTTTGAAGATTGACAGCTTCCACAGGTGAAAAACTGCCTGTCATAAAAACATCTTAGAGGTCTAAACAAGCAAAACCATTGAAAATCAAAACTTAATAAGAAAAGATTTGTGTGAGGAAAGAATTTGAAAAGAGAGTCTAAAAGGGATTCTGTGTTTACTAATGGTTCTTGTTTTATTTCCCTGTTTAAATAATCTTCTTTCTGTTTTCCAAAAACAGTTTTTCAAGAAAGATTTTAAGATGGGACTGCTCTCATGGAGCAAATTATCGTTATTTCTAGGGTGAAGCTTTGCAGACAAACAGGAGGGAAAACACAGAGCTCGGCA